TTCATGTGACTCTGTTGGGGACTGTCCTCGACATAGTTGTGTTGTTCACGAGGAGGGGAGATCCAGCGGCAATAGGGATAGCAAAAGAATACACAGACAGACAGAAGGAGGGAGACAAAGAGGCACCCCGAAACCAGGGTGGATGCATCACTGGTGGGCAGACTTGGGACTACAGGCATTGTGGCCTCTGCAGGCAGCAACTCACTGCCCTGCAATCTTTATTGCATGCCCTCCAACTTGTAATGCACACCTGGGTCGGCCTGGGCCTCTGTTTTATTTAGGGGAGGAGTTTCACACCAAGCTGGGAGGGACTAAGACAAGGTACAGCTAACATCAGTAATTTTCCAGACCTTCAGGTAACCTTACATCGTACTTCGCTGGTTCGAATCCCAGGCCCGCAACTTGGTTTCTCAGGCTCAATTAACATATCTATAGCCCCTGAGCTCAGTTGAGAGAAGGTGAAAGGGAAGGGCAAAAGGCTTGGGCGGAGTCCCGCTGTTTTGGCTTCCTGAGCCAGGTTTTCAGGAACTTGGCTGAATAACTTGCACCTGGGACAGATTCAGGGAGGATGGCTTTTTTGTCTGTAGAACAAAGAACTGTGAAGTAGCTAAACTATTTTCAGTTAATCCTTTGGAGAAAGGCTTGACCTTTGAAACCTTTGCAGTCTTAGGCTTTAGGAAAATACTACATTTATCTGTGGACATTAAGGGCTCATGTTTGGAATTAAATAAAAAACATAACTGAACACTAAGATGAAAAACAATTTGTTAAGACTGTCAGTGGCCAGAATTTTTTCCTCAGAGCCTGTGGCCTGTATAGTTGACAACACTCGGGCCCAGTGGGCCTTGAACTTCTGACCAGTTTTACATGGCCTACAACATGACTCTAAAAAACTTATGATTTCTTTCTTGAGCCATTGGTAGTTTAATAGTGTATTGTTTGATCTCCAAATGCTTCTGTATTTCCCAGGGCTTTTCCTATTATTGTTTTAGTTTTACTCCCTTGTGGCCAGAGAAAATATTTTGTATGATTTTAGTCTGTTTAAATTGATCAGGACTTGATTTGTGACCTAGAATGAGGTCGGTCATGGGAAATCATCTGTAGGCACTGGATTAGAATAAGAACTACTCTTTTTGGGTGGAGTATTCTACAGATGTTAAGTATAGTTGGCTTATAATGTCAGTCATAACCTCAGTTTTCTTGGTGATCTTCTGTTTAGATGATCTGTCCAATATTGAAAGTGGTATGTTGACATCTCCTATTATTATAATAATACTGTCTGTGTCTGTCCCTTCAGTTATATCATTGTTTGCTTTATATATTTAAGTGCTCTGGTAGGGGGGTGCATATATATTTAGGATAGCTGATACATTTACCCTTTTATTACTATATAATGTCCATCTTTATGTCTTCTGACAGATTTTATCTTAAAGTCTACTTTGTCTGATATTAAGATTGCCACACCAGCTCTCTTTGGGTTATTACTTTCTTGGAATTCCCCCCCCCCCCAATCCTTTCACTTCTGACCTATTCATATCCTGAGGCTTAAGGTGTGTCTTTTGTAAGAAGCATATGTTGTTGACAGCACATGTTGTTGTTGTTAAATGCCACGGAATTGATTCTGACTCAGAGAGACCTTGTATAGGGTTTCTGGTGGGTTCGAGCCACCAGCCTGTGGTTTGCAGTCTAGTGCTTATCCTATAGAGCCAGCATTTGTAAACATAGATATATAAACAGCATATTGTTGCTGTTGTTGTTAAGTGCCATTGAGTCAGTTCTGACTCATAGGAACCCTGTATAGGGTTTCCATGGAGCAGCTGGTGGATTTGAACCACCAACCTTGTGGTTAGCAGTCCAGTGCTTATCCTACAATGCCACACCAGAACTCCATTTTTCCATTCCTTTCCCCAAATAACCCATAGTACTTTCATGGTAGAGGCATTCTGCTCCCACAAAGATTTACAGCCTCAGAAACCCTGAACAGAGTTGTTATGAGTTGGAATCGACTCAACAGGACTTAACAACAACATCATACTACTTTTAGTTTAAGTACCACCAGCCCCCTTCCGTAGTCTTCTAGAGAAGAGGCAGGTATTAACTTTGATATGCAAGATGGATGTATGGAGAGGTGAAAGTTATTCACCCCACCGTGGGGAGAGTTGGACTTTGTGGAGCTATTGAGAATAAATACTACTGTTTGGTGGTAATTGAGTTTCATCAGTAGAGCTAACTGAGGTTTTCCCCCAGGATGAAGGTGACTTAGCTTTGCTTCACCCGCTGGAGAGGCAGTTACTTGTCACCAAAAATAGAGTGTTTGACCATGGGACAAACAGTACACAGCTAACAGGTGCCCAAATTGTGTGTGGCTTAAAGAACACTGCTCCCACCCTAGAAGAGGGGAGGGACAGCTGAGAGACTTCTGATGTGACAAGTCAGAGAATTGGGCAGATGATAACTAGTTTTATTACAGTAAAATAACCTTTCCCATTTCAGGGACATTTGACATCTTAGCACATTAATACCATAATCCATCTTAATAGTAACAGTTTATTCTTAGTCACAGTCAAAGCCATTGACTTTCTCCCTCACCCCGAAATTGAAGAGATGTTGCCAATAGCTGCTAATGACAGCTTGAGAAAAAGGAATGCTTGCCAGGCACCTTTCATTTTAGTTGCCCTTCGCAGATACTGTGTTTTTTACGAATTGATGGTTTGTGGCAACCCTGCAGCGACCAAGTCTATGGGCGCCTTATACCAACAGCAGGTGGTCACTTTGTGTCTCTGTCACATTGTGTTAATTCTCACACTATTTCAGACTTTTCCATAATGCTGTTTTGCACATGTAATGAACCGTGGTGTACTGTAAACATAACTTTTATATGCACTAGGCAACCAAAAATTCTGTGACTCACTTTATTGCAATGTTAGCTTTATTATGATGGTCTGCAAGTGAAGCCACAGTGTCTCCAAAGTCTGCCTGTATGTGTTTGTAGGCATTGTGTGCCGTCAAGTCGGTTCCAATTCATAATGACCCTGCATAGGGCTTCCAAAAGCGACTGGTCGGTTTGAATTGCTGAACTTGTGGTTTTCAGTCCAGTGCTTACCTTACAGTGCTCCACCAGGCCTCTGGTATGTTTTGGGGTTTTTAGTGTCTGTGAGTTGAATGAAGGTTTACAGATAAGATACTAGTTTTACATCCAACAAATCATACACCTTGTTTCATCTGGATGGTAATCCCCTCCATGCAACAAGTGTCCCACTTCCTTCCTGTGGTTACCCATGTACAAATCTCCTCTTTAAAACTCTTACATATTTGCAGGAGCTCTGGTAGCGTAGTGGTTACGAATCGGGCTGCGAACCTCAGGGTCAGTAGTTCTAAACTGCCAGCTGTTCTGTGGGAGAAAGATGAGGCTTTCTTCTCCTGTAAAGATTTACAGCCTCGGAAACCCTGTACAGGGTCGCTATGAGTCGGAACCGACTCCACAGCACATAACAACATATATATATATATCTATACCACATCCATTCAGCCTGTTTCTCTGTCCTTGTATCTACACAAAGAACACTGTTGTTCCAAGATTGTTTACATATCACTATTTACCTCTATCCCCTTTAGCCCTTGCATTTCTGTCTTTACCTGTCTTCGTCATCTTCTGTCACCCTCTCTTTGTATATTGCCCTCCCTGTCACCAAGTTAACGTATCTACCTTGACGACACTTAACAACAGCAATACCCTCTAGCCAGTGAACCACTCTCCCTTCTCTCCCACACCTGGTAACCATCAAAGAATATTTCTTTTAGTATGGAAACCTTTTCTTGAGTTTCTACAAAAGTGGTCTCATACAATATTTGTCCTTTTGTGATTGAATTATTTCACTCAGCATAATGTCCTCCAGGTTCATCCATGTTATGAAGTATTTTGCAGATTCATTGTTATTCTTCACTGTTGCTTAGTATTCCATTGTGTGTATGTACCAAAGTTTGTTTATCCAGTCTTCTATTGATGGGCATTTAGGTTGTCTCCATCTTTTTGCTATTGTGAATAGCTCGTACCTGTATGTTTTTAAGTGCTGTGGCTATGGTTTCAACTCATAATGACCCTGCAGAGGGGTTTCTGAAGCTGTAAATCTTTTGCAGAAGCAGAAAGCCTCATCTTTCTTTCTCCCATGAAGTGACTGGTGGACTTGAACTACTGACCTTTGGTTCACAGTCCTGTGCTTACCCTATGGAGCCACAATACTCCCTTCATACCTGCATGTTTTCTGTATATGGTTTTTGAGGAGCTGTTGGTGAGCTTGAACCACTGCCCTTGTGGTTCAAAACACCTTTGCAGCCCAGCGTATTAGCTCACAGAGCCAAACTAGGACTCTTCATGCCTATATTGTTGTTCAGTGCCGTTGAGTCGATCGACCCATAGCGACCCTGTATAGGGTTTCCAAGGAGCAGCTGGTGAGCTTGAAACACCGATCTTGTAGTTCAAATGACTTTGCAGTCTGACGCATTAGCCTACAGCGCCACACCAGGACTCCCATGCCTATATAGAAGATGATATATTTTAACATTTGCAGCAGTAAAAAGGCATATGTAAGTTCTGGGCAAACCAGCATGCAGCAGATGGTCTGGTTTGGAAACCATCTTCTCACTGTTTGGACATTTATTGCAAAGCACATGTGGTTCTTTTTGGGACGATCCCTGTCTGGGGGCTTCCCTTGTGGAGCTGGGTCTCTCAAGAGGAGGTGCTGAGCCATTGGTGAGTTATTTAGCTCAGTTTCTGCACTTCAGAGCAAGTTTCGTAGATTGGTGTTAAGTTCATCAAGGGTGTCTGAGATCTGATCATTTACATTTCAGATAATGGCATGCCTTATATCTGTGTCCAAAGACACAGGAAATATAAAAAGAGATAGGGGAAAAGGTATAAAAATTACAAAATGATGTGTCCTGTCTAATGAAGGCTTTCATTGTATTGAGTCTCCTGTTTTTTCCCTTTTGTGTTCACTTAGAAACCGGATGTCCTGACCACTGGAGCCGGTAACCCCGTAGGAGACAAACTAAACGTTCTCACAGTAGGGCCCCGGGGGCCTCTTCTGGTCCAGGATGTGGTATTCACTGATGAAATGGCTCACTTTGACAGAGAGAGAATTCCTGAGAGAGTCGTCCATGCTAAAGGAGCAGGTGAGAGCTGTGGTCATTTATTGTAAAGCATTGCTTCATGGTACCTGGGTCACAGAGTATTTCCCAAAAGGAAATGCCCCTCTAGTAGACAAGTCAGATATGTGTTCCTGGAAGGAAGACAAAAGATGTCAGTCCATAGTGGAATTATTAATTAAATGGTGGTGGTTGCCTTGGATATGGAGTGTTGGTGGCAAAATGGTTACAGACTCAGCTGTTCACCAAAGGCTCAGCAGTTTGAACCCACCAGTGTCTTCAAAGGAAGAAGGTGACTATGTCTGCGTCCAGCCTTGGGAACCCCATGGGACTGTTGTGCTCTGTCCTGTATGTTGCTATGAGTTGGCATCAACTTGATGGCCGTGGGTACTGAATATTATATGGGAAACAGGTTATTTTATTAAAAGTAAAAAAAACCCCAACTATAATCGTGAATATTTCTTCCGTTGTAACGTTTGGTGGAAATAAATATAGAAATATACTGTAATTGTCACTAGGTTTAAATGGTTACTTACTGGACAAATATGGAAACGAAGTGTGTGAAATGGAAGATAGTTGTGTTAGGGCAGTGGGTTTGGGTGATTTTTCATTTTCTTTTGTCTAGCACATCTGTAAAACTTTTTTTTTTCCACAGCAAACAGAAATTATTTTATTGGCTTCTTTTTTTTTTTAAGACAGGAAAACTTTTATTATATGCCCAATTTGTGCTGTTTAATTTTGTTTTGTTTTTATTGTGAGGTTTACATGGGAGAACATCAGCTTTACACTCATCCTATCATATTTTGTTTTATTGCAATGATTGCACTCCCCTCCATGCACCATCAAATAACCAAAGGGTACCCCACACAGGCCCGCCCCCCCAGCAGCCAGCACATAGCCCTTCTCCCTCCCTGAGTCCAATGTCCCCAGCTGCTCCATCTGTCCACGTCATCTTCTCTGTCTCCATCCCTGGCATCACTGCTTCTCTGGGTAAGGTCCCGCTCTCCGTTCTTCTCACTTAATGGTTCCAGGGACTCCCGCTCCTGGGCTGCAAAATCAATCACTCTCCTCCTTTTGTCAAAAAACATCTACCTCTACATTTCCTAGCCTCACAGTCAGACCTGATGGCAATTATTCACTATTGTACCACAAGAGTCTGATCCCCATTTCCTTTCACCAGCCCGGTCCCAACAGATTGGAAACCATTCATTGGTGATTCTACCTTCCCCTGCCCTGCCTGGAACTAGGCTCCCTCTTGAAAGCTTGTAAGCCAGTCACTTCTTGCCTTTATCGGCTCCCCCATTTTGGGTAGCCAATGTCTTAAGTTGCCCATCCCTGTCAACTCTGTGTACTGAGGAGTGATCCTTGCTGCAAAGATTTTTTCCCTTTTTTGAGCTATTACATCCATAAGTGTAGGTGAAGTTCATCAAACTGTAGCAGGTTACTCTTTTTACCCCTCTTCTTTCTTCTTCTAGTCAAGTTCTGATCATCCAGCCATCGAAGCCCACTCAAGTGGGTACTGTCTGCAAGTATGGGTGTTCTTGTGCATCTCCCCTCACTTCATATCAGCTGGACATTTCACTCTCCGTTCTAGTCCTTTGTGGCCATGTCACTGCCTCTGGACCCGGGATTCCCCAGTTGTGCCATACTGCTGGCCATCCAGGTCTCCACCTGGGTTCATAGGGGTCTATTGAATGTGATTGGGTTTAGCTCATAACTTCATTGTTGTTTTTTCCCCCCTCTTCCCCTTTTCGGTGACCAACGTGGTCATCAGCCAGACCACATGCCTGTTCATGTATTCCCCTTGAGTCTCAGCCTTGGAAGGGAGTTTGCTCTGAGGAGTCCCGATCACTTGCCTTGATGGCTCCCGGGTGAACAGCTTACTTGTTCTTGTAGTAATCAGTCATACTGCCAGTATTGTTTCTGATTTTTCCTGCTGGTCTTTCTTTCACGAAGTATCTTCTGTTCTTCTAGCTGCTCCAGGCTGATCTACTTTTCCTTTCCAGTGGAAATGTCCTACCTCACTCAGTTCTGGATGGGGTTCTGGATTCCACCTATGGTCTTGTGCAATGTAGAGTCTCCACAGGAAGCCTCTTTCACTGGGCAACTTCTAGCCCCCTTTAAAGTATTCCAATCAGTTATAGGCTGAAGACGGACTTACAAGCTTTCTATAGTGATGATTCTGGCTATTCCTTTCTGCTCCGCTTGAGTGTCTATTTTACAATGGTAAGCAAGGGAAACCAAGATTCAAAAGACAGCCAAGCATCTTAACACTATTCCCCTCTTTTACCCCTTCTAACTGTGCCTCAATCCCTGTATCCCAGAGCCCAGTTATTCTAGGGTTGTGCATACCTCATCATTTACCTCTGTCCCACTTAGCCCATGAGAACCTGCCTAACTGTTCTCCCATCAGCCTTGTTCTTCCATTCCCTTCCTCCTTCTTGTGTATTGCCACCACCCCCACATCTGTAAAACTTTTATCTTGTTTTTTTTGGCAGAAACAAAAAATAGTGATAGTGTTTGAGAGAAAGCAACTCAGTAGGGAAAATAGAGATCAACAAAAAGAAAGAAAAAATTGTTCCCTAATCTATGTATTTAAACTTTCAGCTAAGGACTTCCTCATTTCTTCATTTCTTCTTCTTTCTACATAAGATTTCTTCCCATCTTCTCCATAACTTTGATCATGATTCGGATAAACTCTTATTCAGTTTGTTGTTTGACTCTGTGGCATCTTTAATAAATGTCTAAACTATTCTCTCCTTCCCTGGATTTTCTCTCTTTTCCTGCCTATTCTTCTGTTTCTCTCCTAGATCCTTCCTGTGCTTTAAGGCCCTATTGGATCATGTCCTTTGGTTAATTTGTGGTCAACCTTCCTAACTACTCTCAGCCTCACTCATTTCCTGGCTCCAGTTCTGTGGTGCATGGTTTAGCACTAGATGCTAGTAGAGCTTTGTATCTTATTCTATGATTTGGATGTCACCCCTTCCCCATCATATTGGAAGCTCCCAGAAGGCCAGAGCTAAACCATCAGTCTCTATGTAGTCACACAGATACCTGGAGGAATGTTGAAGGCCACATGGGCTGAGTAAAGGTCTCATGTTGACGCTTTCTGTGTCTTTCTTGTCAGGGGCCTTTGGTTACTTTGAGGTCACACATGACATTACCAGATACTCCAAGGCAAAGGTGTTTGAGCATATTGGAAAGAGGACTCCCATTGCCGTTCGCTTCTCCACTGTTGGTAAGTGTGTCTACTGGTGTGACTACTGTTGCTTAATAAACTCAGCCCTGTACCTTGGTGGGGCATTTATGACTCAATTTAAAAAGCTTGAAGGGTGACTGTGAGTCACAATTGATTTGATGGCAGTAGCTTTAGAGCTGAGATGGCACCATGGTTAAGTGCCTGCGTTGCTGACTTTAAGATTGGCTGTTCGAATTCACCTAGTGGCTCTGTGGGAGAAAAACCTGATGATCTGCTTCTATAATGAGTTCAGCCAAGAAAACGTTATAGGCCAATTCTGTTCTGTCACATGGGGCTGCTATGAGTCCGAATTGATCCAGTGGCACCCAGCAACAACAACAACAACAACAACAACAACAACAGACTATATCGTATTATATTTCGACATACCAAAGTGGGAAATTCTGTGTCTGTATTGTTCTGTGCTTTTGCATTTTTAAATATTTTAGAATGCTTAAAAAAATAATGAAATTAAGATTGAGAACTTATATTTTAATTCAGATTCTTAATATGAAAACATTGTCTATCTAATATTTAAAATAATTAATATTTAATATTTTGAATACTTAGACTGCAAAAATAAAATAAACTAAGAATGACAATCTACATTTGAATACATTTTCTTAATATTTTTGTTGTTGTTAAGTGCCGTCGAGGTGGTTCTGACTCGTGGTAACCCTGTGTAAGATTCCCAAAGAGTTGAGTTTGAACTGCTGACATTTAGGTTAGCAGTTCCATGCTTGTTCTACAGCACCATACCAGGATTTCTGAAATTAATGTAATGAATTTGGCATCTCACTTATGCTCTTTGTTTACCTTATATTCCTTAATATTCTCTTCCACTATTTAAATTTAAGTTTTAATGACCTGTTTAAACACAGTTATCTTATGTGAAATGGATAGTCTTTTTAGCTACCATTACATATATTCTTTTTACTCTCAGTGAATTGTTTTAATTTTTAGATTAATTTACTTGTAGAAAATGGATTAAACAGGATAGTTACTTTAGGACCATAGGCTTGGTGATACCATGATCAATTGGCATAATACAGTCCACAAAGACAGTGTTCTGTATCCTACTTTGGGATCATAAAAGCTCATGAGCGGCCATCTAAGGTGCAACTTTTGGTCTCTCCGTGTGCAGAAGAAAGAAGAGTGGTTGAAAATTGGAGATGCTTGGAACCTACTAAGTCCAATGGACCAATGGAACATGTGCACATCAGTCACCATGATTCTGAGGCCATAGGAACTAGATGATACCCAGCTACCACTACCAACTGCTCTGAAAGGGACAACATTAGAAGGTCCCGGAGAGAGTGGGAGACAACATGGAACAAAAATAAAAAATAATAAGAGATCAGGCTTACTGGTCAGAAAGAGACTGGAGGAACCCAAGACTATGGCCCTCAACTAGCCTTCAGGTCTGGAACGACAATCACCCTCATGGCCCAATTTTCAGCCAAGCACTAGATACATATATAGGGGAACAACAATACTAGTAAGGTATTGCATTTATTGAGATGAAATTAGTTGAATGTGAAACTGATGATGCTCTCTATAAATCTTCACTCAATTTGCAACAAAAAGTGTTGTTTTTTTTTAAAGATAGATACCATTGTTTATGGTTTTAATCTTCTTGGATGCAAGTACTCTGACTAACGCTTCCCTGTTTTTTTGTCTAGCTGGAGAATCGGGCTCAGCTGATACAGTCCGTGACCCACGGGGGTTTGCAGTGAAATTTTACTCAGAAGATGGGAACTGGGATCTGGTTGGAAATAACACCCCCATTTTCTTCATCAGGGATGCCTTATTGGTACTTGTAGTACTGTCCATTCTACAAATGTTTGTTCATTTCAGTTGATTTCAGATACTCTGGATAGATGGATAGATTGCCTGGGAAAGACAGAAAGAAGAGAATTTGTGTTGGTTGGGTTGCCTCTTTAAGCACGTTGTTCTGTATTCAATATATTTTTAATAGCTACATAATAATTACCACTGGCTCTAGATTTCCCATTTCAAGATTGACTCAAGGTACATAGTCCAGTTTTCCTTGCAGAGCTTGGAACGTTAGTTAAAAAGAGGGTTTTGTCCTGGAAATTAGTAGAGGGTGTTTCTACATGATCTGGGCCAGCAGAAGGGATGTGTTGTGTCTGTGTGTGTGTATGCATCTGTAATTTTTTTTCCCTTAAAGGAATATACTTTAAGTATATACTTTGAGAGTATTTGAAAGACTTTAGGATTTCTTAGGCACTAGCTGCATATGTTGGGTACATTTCATTTGAAGATTTGACAGGTTAAAATTCTAGAATTGTATTGCTCAGAATTACAGTGGATAAACCTAGCAATAGGCAAAGTGTAATGTGTGGTGGTTGTTAATTGCCATTGAGTCAGTGCAGATTGGTGGTCACCTTATGTGTAACAGATAGAAACATTGCCTTGGTGACAACGTACTTCCTGTTCAACTTAGTTTGAGTTTTTTCTCTTTTCTTTCCATTTAGTTCCCGTCCTTCATCCACAGCCAAAAGAGAAACCCTCAGACACACCTGAAGGATCCCGACATGGTATGGGACTTCTGGAGCCTGCGCCCTGAGTCTCTGCATCAGGTGGGGATGCTTCGTTCGTCACCGTATCACGATCTTCTCCCAGGATGTATGTGTTTACCAGGCACCATGCTGTGTTTCTCTCATGTTGTTGTTGTTGTTATGTGCCGTCGAGTTGGTTCCGACCCATAGCGACCCTGTACAGGGTTTCCGAGGGTATAAAGCTTTACAGGAGTAGAAAGCCTTATCTTTCTCCTGCGGAGCAGCTGGTAGTTTCGAACCGCTGACCTTAAGGTTCGCAGCCCGATTCGTAACCACTACCATAGTGATTATTTTATTGGGATTGGTTTCTTGTTTTCTTTCTGGGAGACTTCCTCAGGAATCTTGGCCCGGAAGTTTCTAATGACTGATTTTGTTAATACTCCCCCCAACCATAGTCCTTTAATGATGATGATGTATAGTTGAAAACATACAGCATATTTAACAATATTAAGGATCCAAGATTCTTGTATGAGGTCAGTATTTTGGCATTGGAGGAATGAGGGGGCAATACATTTCCTGTTAAAGTACTTTTTGAATATCAAGGTAGATTAGTTTTCCGATTTGCTTTAGCTTTTGTTCATAGAATTTCATGCTGTGCTGTTAAGGGTTTCTGTGTTCTTCTACTTTGAAATTCTTCTGTGTTTCCTGCAAATGAGATAATCATGATAACCCTTCCCCTGGGGAACTGGCTAGTGGCTTCTGTGTCATAAAGAAATTTCCCAGAAACTTAGTTAAAGATGTCTTAAAAATCAGAAGTATTTGGCTTTAAACTAAAAACTGTTGGGTTCTATGTTTTTTAGGTTTCTTTCTTGTTCAGTGACCGAGGGATTCCAGATGGACATCGGCACATGAATGGCTATGGATCACATACTTTCAAACTGGTTAATGCAAGTGGAGAGGCAGTTTATTGCAAATTCCATTACAAGGTACATGGTGCCCATCTTCATCTCCCCTTACTCCTCCTGAGGATGAGGCAAAGGGCACAGCTTCTCCCACTGTGCCCTAACTGTTAGGGATGAAATTGTGTGTCACCCCCCCACCCCCACCCCCAACGTGTGGTAGAAGCCCAACTCCTACACCTGTGGATATAATCTGACTTGGAAATCGTTTTTGTTATATTAATCCGCCAATATGCAAGTAGGATGGGTTTTTAATTGAATCGTTTTTGAGTTATAAAAAGAGCACAGGTTAGGCAGAGCACAGAGGTTGAGCCTCACTTTCTAGAATCCTGTGGTGGAGTGTAGGGTTAGGTCCTAGCAAGCCAAGAAGTATTTATTAGGTTGCTTTGCCTCTATTATCCCTGAGGCATTCATTGTCTTGGGGGGAACTAAGCACCATGGGAGTTTCCTTATCTGTAATGGCAGTCTCACCACCTGTGCGGATTTATCCGACCCCACCTCTGTGCCTCTGCTGCATCTATTCTACCACCACCTACAGATGCCACACTTCTTCCTCTGAACCTAACCCCCCAGAACTAAGTCAGATAAAGGGGCCAGCCTTCCAGACTGCCAAGTCTGCTCATAACTGCAGGTACCAGCTTCAAGCATGGGAGTTGTCAGGGCTGCCTTCACTTCTCACCTACTGGGTACAAATTCAGGGGTTCCTCTGCCCTCTCATGATACCAACTATGAGCTCAGGGGTTCCCAGCCACCCTCATTTTTAAGGCTCCTTCCTGTGTGATAATTCATGAGAATGACAGAACTCATGGAAAGCACTGTACTTACAGTGCTAGTTTTACTGTAGCAAAAAGGATCTAATGAAGAGACATTTATTAGGGAGAAGTCTGGGAGGGTCCCCAGTGCGAAGCTTCTATCCCCAGAAGGACTGCACTATTCTGCATGCATTGCTGTGTGTCACCAACCAGGAGACCCATGGGGCTTCAGTGTCCAGAGCCTTTATTGAAGATGCTCGCTATGTTATCATGAGGTGGTCATTTTGTGGTCTTAAGAGGTGGGTCTCTCTGGCCTGGTCAGCTCCTACCTGTTGGTTAAGGGTGACTTGGAGTTCATATTCAAGACACTTAAACCATTAGAGAATAGTTTCCTAAACCAAGATTTTAGGCATTATCTCTCAGGAACCAAGGACAAAGACCAACTTCTTTGGGGAAAGTTAATGCAAACCCCACACCTTGACTCCCAACACTTTATGCTTTATTTTCAAAAACATGTCTCCTGACCTTAAAAATCATCTGTCTCATCACTCAGCACTTACTGAGGGTGTATTTTGAATGGGGAAAGTAAGTAAAATCTATTAAGAATGTCAGAAAACAAAATTCTCTAAATGTTTTCATACAGTCAGATCAACTTAGTTACTTGGGCTTTTGAGCACCTTTGAATTAATTGATCTATTTTATAGGGTCCGCTCTTGGCATGATATTAACATTTATTACTCTGTGTAATATTCTCAAAGAACTCCAGGGGGTTAAAAATCTCTGCTTCCTTTTAATGGTAGCTGAAAGACCTGCTTTTTTCTATCCTGCCTCCACCTTTATCTGACGTACTTGTGCAAGCATATCATACAGGAAAGCTGCCGCCCTCTTGATCCTGAAGGCCTGGCTCCTCCTTAATCTTCAGTTCACAACTGGTGTAAGAAGCAGCTCCCCATTGGCTGGCTCCGGTCAGAAGGAGTGTTGCAGTCAATGAGAGCTAAACTGAATGACTGTGCCTGGGACAGCCTGCTGAGTTGGTGTCTATGGAATTAGACCAGCCTGAAATCATACCTTTGCTTTTCTAGATGGCTGTGACCTTGGCATATTATTAAAAGTTTTCTGAGCTCCATCTTTTTTCACTGTAAAAATGAAATAATAGTAATGTCTGCTCTCCACAGTCTGGAATGGTTGGATAGTTTGTGGATCTGGTCACCAGAGGGCCCTGAGGCAACCTGAGAGCAGCTACATGGATTCATCAGGCAGGGTGGCTCTGATTTAGATTATTTTTTCCTAAACCCAGGGGGCTCAACTTAAATCAGAAAGACAGTGCAATCTTACTGCAATTGACTGTAGGCTCTTTGAGCCATCTGTAGATGGGACCTTCTATTTTCAGTCCTGATGACAACTTCATTTCTGACCCAATAGAAGGAAGGTTTAAAATGTTTCCATTGGTTAGAGTTGGGATGAAATGAACCAGCCATTCAGAGTTGATTTTTACTAAGGAAATCTTCCATTGGCACATGGCATTTTGGGGAGTCTTTCAGATATACACAGGAAATTCATTGCTGATATGAGATCATCATTTAAGTTGTTGTTAAGTGCCGTCGAGTCAGTTCTGACCCACAGTGACCCTAAACAGGATTTCCGAGGCTGTAAATCTTTATGGGAGTAGAAAGCCTCATCTTTCTCCCGCGGAACAGCTGGTAGTTTCGAACTGCTGACCTTGCGGTTTTCAGCCAAGCCCTTGTGAAAGTGATTGAACTTCGTTGGGTCTTCATGGCTTGTTTGGAAAGACCCAGTAGTAATTTTGGGACATCTGGTTTAGAAAAATTGTACTGAGGTTCTTTTCAGCTCTATGTGGTTTCATTAAAAAATAAAAGTAAGAAAGTGGTGGTGGAAGGAATACTAGCAGGGCAAAATCTCAGTAATTCCTTTGAGCTGTTATAAAATAGGAAATTTAAAAGACAATTTCATGTAAAAAAGGAAAATTCTTTTTAAATTTATTAATCATCTGATTATTTTCAAAGCAGATTAGACAAGTAACAGGAGTGTGAAAATTTAAATAACATAGACATAAATAAAAGGAAAGATAGGACTAATTTTAAATATGAAATATGTAATCTGAATTCTCTGGAAATTTAAAAGAATTAGGATAATCAAGTAAAATTCCTTGCTGATAAACTTTTATTGGTGCCTTTATTGGTTCCATGTTTGAACAATGGAAGTTTTACTGCAAGGAAAATTCTGTCTTTGGTTATTAGTGTTACTTCTATGGAAATTCATGATCGAGTCTCTTAAGCCTTCAGTGAATTATTGATTAAAGTTTGGTAACTGCCAGAAAGTTTCAGTTTGAGCTTTCTTTCCTTCTGCAGACTGATCAGGGCATCAAGAACCTTCCTGTGGAAGAAGCATCAAGAATTTCCCAGGAAGACCCTGACTATGGCCTCCGGGATCTGTATAATGCCATTGCCACCGGCAACTACCCCTCCTGGACCTTTTATATCCAGGTCATGACATTTAGTCAGGCAGAAGCTTTTCAGTTTAATCCATTTGACCTCACCAAGGTGAGTCAGTTAACAACTAAATGGTTTTCTTCTTTGTTGATGTATTTCCGAATGAAAAAAAGTGTTTTTCTTTTATCCACAAATATATTGTTGTTAAGTGCCGTTGAGTCAGATCCTACCCATAGCGATCCTGTATGTGGTTTCAGAGGAGCGACTGGTGAGCTTGAACCACCAACCTTTGTAGTCTGGTGAAGTTGTAGACAAAGTGGTATCAGAGAACCACGTAGAGTTTCCTTTTCTGTCACTGAAAGCCCACCAGTATTTCAATTTCATGCTCATGTTTGATGAGTTTATGTTGGTAGTTTGATACCTTGTATTGAACCCAAACTAAACCCATTGCGTTTGAGTCCATTCCAACTCATAGTGACCTTCTAGAACATAGTAGAACTGTTTCATAGAGTTTCCAAGTCTGTATTCTTTAATGAAGCATCTTTCTCTTGCAGAGTGGCTGGTGGGTTCAACCTGCCAATGTTTCAGTTAGCTGCCAAGTGCTTAAGTACTGTGCCATCAGAGCTTTTATATTATTATGATTATTGTTGTTGTTAAGTGCCTTCAAGCTAGTTCAAACCCATAGCGACCCTGTATAGGGTTTCTGAGAAGCAGCTGGTGAACTTGAACCTATGACCTTGCAATTCAAACCGACTTTGCAGTCGAGCTCATTAACCCATAGCATCACACCAGGACTCCATTATATTGTTACTAGCAGGGGACAGATTTTGAAAAGTTGAAGCTCTTTGCTTTTTACCATTTACAATTGTGAAACATTCAACCAGTGTACTCACTGTTATGTTCTTAACATGTTTCTTGGATTATGAAATGATTGTTTATACTCATCATTGGCTTCATTCCATTTGAATACTGGTATTCTTATGGGTGGAGTCCTGGTGTGGTGCTATAGGATAAGCACTGGACCCCAAGGTTCAAACTCATCAGTAGCTGTTTGGAAACCCTATGCAGGGTCACTGTGAGTTGGAACTGACTTGGTGGCACTTAACAACAATTCTTATGGGTAGTTTTTGGTATCTTTAGTTGGCTGTGTGGTAATTGTGAATATGACTTTTTCTCCCCAGATTTGGCCTCACAAGGACTATCCTCTTATTCCAGTTGGTAAACTGGTCTTAAATCGGAATCCGGTCAATTACTTCGCTGAGGTTGAACAAATCGCCTTTGACCCAAGCAACATGCCACCTGGCATTGAGCCCAGCCCTGACAAGATGCTTCAGGTGAACCTGGAGGATCGAGATGTTCTGAGGCACAGTCTTTACATGAAGAATTAACTAGAATTCCACGTAAACGTTAATTGATCTGGGTCTTAGTTTCTTGTGGAACTGAGTGAGTTAAACCCATCCTTGGGTGAGCATTACTGGAATGAAACATAGCAAATTCCACAGTACTCACTGCCCTGGAGTCGATTCCAACTCATAGCGACCCTCTAGAACAGGGGTGGGGAAACTTTTTTCTATTGTAACATCATTTGTGGGCCATACAAAATTATCAACTCAAAAATTAGCCTGCTGTATTTGGTCAAACATTTAATTAACTCACCCCTAATGTGATGACGGCACTTAACAACAACAACAACAATGTGATGACTGGAGTCCTGGTGTGGCGCTGTGGGTTAATGCACCAAACTGCAAAGCTGGTTGAACTGCAAGGTTGGCGGTTCAGGATCACCAGTTGCTCTTTGGAAACCCTATACAGGGTCCCTATGGGTTGGAACCGACTCGACGGCACTTGACAACTACAACAACAACAACAACAATGTGATGACTAGAACTGTGGTTGTCTTGGCAGAACCAGACCAGTCCCCCACCCTGCTGTATAGGGTTTCTGAGGTCGTATGTCTTTATGGGAGCAGAAAGTCTTATCTTTCTCTAGCTGAGCTACTGTTGGATTTGAACTGCCAACCTGTTAGTAGTCCAGTGCTTATTCTGCAATGCCAACTGGCCTCCTCAAAATTTCATAGTAGAGAGACTTTGTCATTTATTCTCTTAATTAAAAAAAAAAAAAGTTAGGAATGCCTCAGGTATTTGTTCAATCTGTGACTCATGGGATGGAATATAATTAATTGGTTATGACCTTTATTCCATGGGATACTTGAATTCCTTCATCTGTGAAAAAGAGATCTGGAGATGATTGTTTTTTAAATTGTAGTTAATGTAAGTAGAACCAAACATGTGCTATTTCACCATTTTTACATGTATGCCTCAGTGACATTGATCGCTTTCATGATACGTAACCATTGCCTTATCTTTCTGCATCCTCCCGTTACCTTAAGCTGAATTTATGTTGCCAGTGATAGAAGGTATTCTAGGCATTCACTCTCCAATGTGCTCTTTCAAGAGTGCAAGGCATTCTAGGCATTCAGTATGTTCCCCATCGCTCTCCAATGTGCTCTTTCAAGAGTGCAAGGAGTGCAGAATTCTTCTTTGGACCAGAAATCAATAGACAAATAATTAGTTTTAAAATTAGTGAATTAGTCAGTCTTTTGCACGTTTGAACTATGACCATGGAACAAAGGTTGAAGATCGCATTCTCCCATCAGACCACGGTGACTGATGGTTGCTTGTGAAGTTGGGAGCATGTGAGAGTTTGATAGAAAGTAGGTCTTTCATTCATTTTTAGTTCTGTTTTACGAATATGAATTGCATGCCTATGTACTGTTGATATTCTATCCCAGGCATTGTAAACGATCTGAGAGCACAAGATAACTGTAGTGCAAGGCAGAGTGTTGTGGTGAACCGGAAGGCAAAGTCTTGTCCCTTTGGAGCATGACAGCAGTTTCATGAGCAAGATAGCATTGGAGATGGGTTTTGAAGAGTGGATACAATTTTTATGTTCAACAACGGTATAATTCGACAGAATGCATCTCAGTACAGAAGTACTCTAAATATCAACACAATTCTTGAGTGACAAGTTTGAACATTAGTCCTTTCAGGGAAAACAAAAGTTTCCTTCAGTTTTGAGAGATGTGGTCTGGTGTGTCTCATTTAGAAACACTCCTGTTGGCTGAAATAGAAAAGAGAAATCAAGCAGATCACAGAGGCTAATGGAAGTGGATATGGCAGCCAGTGCAGTGGAACCCTGGGTCCTGACCCTCCCCTGCCCCGTGCTTGGAATGTTGCTGAACTCTGGGAAGAAGGAGTGAAATGGGATTTGCCAGGCCATGAAATTGTCATGGGTAGGGCTAAGACATGGGTATGAAAGGAACAGGTTGAGAAATACAAGGCCACCCAAAATTTTGGAAAAATCCAGCCCTTTTTGAGCTGGGACCGCAGTGGGACTTAGAGGCAGTTAATACTCCGACTTTGAAGATTTGAATAGGGGAATAGGCCCAGGGACAAAGCCTTCATTACAAGTTCATGTTCTCTACAGCAAAGGTGTAAGCAGCTATTTAAAACCATATCCTAAAAAAGGATGATAAATGGAAATTAATCATATCATCATTTAAGTAAATTTAAAAAATATATGAAAGAACTTTAGTAAGTTCAGTCAAGATACCAGTTTCTGGCCCAGTTTTTCTCATCACTTTGTAGGTGTTTTAACTGTGAATTCTAATAGCTTGGGGCTTTTTAGGAACCTTACAGTTGGGATTGTTGCTTTCATTCAGCCGTTGAGTAGTTAAGAGATAGCAGGGCCCGAGGAAGACTCATTTGGCCTGAGTGTGTAGGATGCCCTATTGGAAGAGAGACTGGAAGTACAGAGCCAGTTAGTCAAACTTTGCAGTTACTCCTACAGTGATGGTGTTCTCAGTTACCTTCCAACTCGGTAACATTAGTAGATTGTAAGACTTTGTTATCTAATGTGATAAGGCAGAGTACAGTGAAATGAGTAGGGTACTTACTGTAATGCAAGAGGGTAACCTATTAGTCATAGAGAGTCGGTCCCCTTAATACCTGATGGCACAGGTTTATCCTTTCTTCACCAGGAGTCGGGGAAGAGGTTGAGTTGGTAGCTTATGTATGGGGGCTTTGTTCAGCTTTCTGACCCAGGCTCAGCAGAGGAGTTCAAGCACAGAGCCTTGGGTAAGGCTTAGACTTAACGTAATGTCAAGGTTGTAATCTCCCTGTGCCTAGTTCCTGACCTTGACATTGTGGCTAGAGCTGCCTGGTCAACATAAGGTAACACAAGAACAGAATTACGTGATAGACGGGCTGCTAGTGACCCAACTCTGCGGTCCATCCTGTTGGTAGTTTGTTGATTTTGAGCCAAAGGAGGCAAGCAGCCTCCCAGCTAGAGGTTAGTCTTAGTAATGGCTCATGACCACTCATCTACATATTAGCCTAGACTATTTAGAAATGATTAGGGGAGGTGCTGTCACTCAGCCAAGAGCAGACTATTAAACAGAGCAGTGGGACCGGATTAAGCCTGTTGGTATGAAGGATTTGGTTCAAAATATTGCACATGTTCTAGTAATTTGATTTGAGCATGCTCTTTAAGATTTCAAGGCCAGTGATAGAATCACTGAGCGAAAAGTGGCTCACAGACTAGAGTTTTGAATAATGAGAATACTGAAATAATTGGATAGTAATATTAATGCAGTTAGTCATAAAACTTTTTGAGTCTGAACTAATTGAGAGGAATTTTCAAGCTGCTTACCACCTTGCCTTGGTAAATATGTAATATAATTGAACCTTTGATTAAATGCCATCTGGCGTTGTAAGGTCATCGTTTTGAACTTTAAGTAGCCTATCATTACCATCATTTTGAGACTTAAACTAGAAAACCTTAGCTTGAAAGTTGTACATTGCATTTATAAATTGCTTAGTTTAAAAGCAGTGAATTGTGTAGTGCTTTGTTTATAACTAAGGAGCCCTGGTGGCACAGTGGGCTGCTCACCACAAAGCCAGTGATTCAGCCCCACCAACTGCTCTGAGGGAGAAGATGAGGCTGTCCGCTCCTGTAATCATTTACTCTTGGTAACACCAGGAAGCAGTTCCACCCTGCCCTGTAGGGTCACTGAGTAGAAATGGATTTTGATGACAGTGGGTTTGGATTTGGTTGTTTATAATTAGGAAGTTTAAAAGCTCAAACTGTATCTGAGCTAACTCAAAGTGCAAAATGGGAGAGGTATATGGTTTTATTTTTAATGTATAGAATGGCATATTTATTGACTTTTTTTTTTTTTAATGTTTTATTGTGAATTATATGATAGTTTACATGGGAGAACTTCAGTTTTACATTCATCCTATCGTATATCATCTCACTGCCATGGTTCCAATCCCCTCCATGCATCATCAACCACCCAAAGGGTATATCCCAGAAACCTGCCCCCTACACTTCCCCCTCCTCCCCCCAGTTTTCAGCCCACAGTCCCTTTCCCTCTCTGGGTCCAAGGTCCCCAGGCGCTTCATCACTCCACATCATCATCTCGGTCTCTATCTCAGGCATCTCTGTTTCTCTGGGTAGGGTCCCGCTCTCGGCTCTTCTC